AAATAATAAAAAGTTTGTGGATTTGCTACTTCAAGAATTTCATAAATAATTAATATAATGAAAGAACCATGAAAGGAACTGCATAAATTACATACGTGAAGAGATTCGTCATCAAAGCTTGCTTTGTAAAGCAAAACAAACAATCTCTCTTCACAACCTACGCTGCTCTCATCAACTGTTAAAAACTTTCGTATGCAACTCGCTCAACTTGGTAACTTCGCAGGTTGCATACCCAGCAGGTTCGTTTACTATTTCTGCGTAATCAACATCCCATTATTTCCGCTTGAACTTAACTCACTCATAAGACATTAAAGAATAAATTAATAATATTTTTAAATTAACAGTTAAATTACCTGCGAATTGAAAAAGCTGACAAAAATAATCGAACATAATGCGAAAATTAACATATTTTCTGCTTGATTACTTGAATTAAAAATTTTATTTTCAAGTACTGGATTCAGTAATTGCGTAATTTGTTATTTCCAATATATATTATTTAATGGAAAATTGGCAGAGGAATAACAGTACACTCTTGATGATTTTTAGACAAAAAAAAAAGCTAATGATTATCATCTCTTAAGATTTAATGCGATGTTAACCCTGCGTGAAATCAGGAAAAACTAACTGTTCACGTGCTTGCTGCTAATGGAGGCCATTAGATTTTTGCCTGCTAATTAAAAGTCATAAATCACGCGAATTTCGCAACCAATTTCATTCCAACCATGCGTGACGTCACTCTTTTAATTGAGTGCTTTTTTCAAGCAGGTTCTCGCGATGATTCCGATATGCGAGCGCGGTTCCCTCGAGGCACTTTGAATAAATAATTAATAAACGCAACAAGTGCATTTGTGCAGTGTAACCTGTCGCCTGAACGCATGCCAAAGCACACCGAGAGAGAAAGTCATAATTTTTATCTCTAGAGTGGCACTTTACTGCCCTGGGCCTCGCAACAGAATTAAACACGTGGAATTAAACAAATTTCTCCGAAGAACAATTTAACTTAAATAACGAGGCAAAAAACGTTAATTATCGTACATAGAAAATTGACAATAGAGAAATTTTCTTCCTCTCCGGAGGACTGTTTTCATTTTCACTGCAAGAAGTCCAATCTGGCTGACTCTTGACCTCTGGTCTATTCAGCGGAGACCTTAATCTAACGCACAATGGGAAAGAGAATTATAGAAATTGTGTCAAATGCTGGAGACTCTTCTTCGCTCCTCCAAAAAATGCCTGAATAGAATTCAAACTCAATGGTAGAGAATTTTAATCACTAGCCTTTAATTTAATGCATTTTTTTTTAAAGTAATCAATAAATTAATCAACTTTCACGAAATATTGTTTTGAAAATTTGGATTTTTTTAATTAAATTTTATAAGTTTAACGACCTCTTTCTTAAATAATGCAATTTTATTTCGTGTAACTTTTGCTTTTTTCTTGAATGCAAATGTTTTGCTACACAAATCGTAGCCTTTCTAAACGTCTCACGCTTGGAAACCAATTCTGCCGAATGGACCGCTCGAATTCCATTACGATCCGCGCCAACCGAGCGTGACTTTTTCTCACTTTGTGTCCTTTGAAGAAAAGTGTGGAAAGGAGAATTTGTTTTCAATAAAATAAAATGCTGCCGTCACAGCACATTTATTTTGATTATATTTCGTGTCGCGTCTTCGCAGCAGTGAAAATAATTGTGCGCACCTGCATGTCAAATGTAGGTTATGAAAAAGAAGAAGAGGCAGAGAGGACTAATCAAGATAAAGCGCGAGTGGAGCGCGGCGGCAAAATTCAGCGCTCTACTTGCCGCCTTGACGAGCCGCTCGTTTTTATTAAGAAAAATGTACAACTGAATTAGAGCTATTAACTTTATTTGTTTGTTCGATTGCTCGCCAATTAAAGGAAGCGCGGAGAGAAAATATTCAAATGTATCCAGGTCGAATCGTGGTGTCTCTTTAATCGGCGCTAATTACTTTCTTTGCCGCGATTAATTGCGATTCTGTGATTGCCGGTGCGCTCGAATGGTTAAAATCTTTGCAGTGAAAACGGAGAAACTTCGATTCCAGAACACCGGCATTAATTTCAAGAGGCGCAAATTAATTTTGAGATAAAAACCAAGAAGACACTGCTCAATTTTACACGAATGAGTTATAATTCATTTAAGTCTTATTAAAAGTTTGTTATTATTAAATTAATTCAATAAAACAGAAAAACTACAATTTTTGAAATCAAAATTGAAATTGAGATATTTTAAATAAGAACTGAAAATTAAAAATTTAAGTTGCATTATAAAATTTGAATGCAAGTTGAAAAAAAATCTAGAGAATAAATTAAAATTCAGTCCAAATGTTTTAATCAAAAGGCATCAATTGGTGAGAAAAATCAAATTTTGAATTCATCAGAAAATTTTGACATTAAATGTAAATTTTACATATAAATTATCTTCTATATATTTAGACTAATTAAAGAACTGAATAAATTAATATTACCAAAAAATAATGATGCAATTTGATGGAACAAATTAAGATAAATTTGTCTGTGTGACGAAACTTTACACTATTATAGCGTTTGTTGCCAAGTGACTTTTGTCGCGTCGAACTGGTCCCGGTCGCGAGATGTGCACACAAAGTCTCGAGTTACGTCTTCCTCGCCTGCCTTTTGATTATATTCGAGACAAAGGAAAAGAGCGTTTCTGGAAATAAATAACTATCCGACCCGTCCGACCGGCCGGTGCAGCTACTTTTTCTTCAGCGAATCCAATTTCAGGCGTCGCTTTTTTAGCCCAACTTATTTCTCGCAAGGACGCGAAATGAGGCGTGATGCGCGTAAGTGACCCTAAAGAATGTTTTTTGGCACTGTTTGGGATTTCAACATGCGACGATTGTCTCTAACAAGCAAGACCTGGTTGCACATATAATAAATAAAATTGCAAAACTCGTTTCGCCTGTTTGCAGAGACATTTTATATACGCGCTGCCATTTGATTTTGCGTAAAAGGCGAGAGAAGAATAAGAAGGCAATCCAGTCGGCCACTTCCCATTTCTTTGAAGGAATGCGTGCACCGACTCAACGCTAAAACAATTCTTCTTGAAACTTCAAAATGTATTCAAAACTATATTTATATTTTTTCTAGAAAAATTACGAATAAATTGAAAATTTGACTCTTTGAATTAAAATGAATTTAATAAAAACGTAATTTAATTATTGATTACGTTCAGTTTACTAGGATAGGTTTCGTAGCCAAATACTTTAGGTCATCACAAACGTTTTGAGAAAGAACTTTCTACCAAGAGTTAAAAGAAAAATTTACTTTACAAACTTTAAAAAGGTTACAAATTTAATCTGAAATTTGAATTGATTGGAAAATAATGAAATTATAAATATTCAGAAATGTTTCAATTGATGATAGAAATTTCTCAGATATAAGTTTAAATCAATTGTTTCTTGGTCGTCAAGTGGTTTTGGCCTTGCATGTGCTTTTGAGTGATAAAAATCGTGGCGAGGCGCAATTATTGCTTGAAAAAGGCAAAAACGTAATGGGAATTCGCTTTGGGCGAAAATGGAAACAGGATTATGCAAAGTGGTGCACGTCTGCCAGCAGTCTCTCGATGTAGCGTGCACATTCCACTGGCCGAGACACACAAGACCGCGTCTTTGTGTGCCACAATTAAGACTCGAAATTAATTAAAGTCACTGGAAATTGTTTGTGTGAGAATAAAATTCGTACTTTTGTGTGCGAGTGCAATTCTTGCGCTTTCCTTTTTAACAACGAAACGTCAATTAAAGAGAAACTCACGCGTGTTATATGTTTTGTGTTATTGCTGAGAAAAGAGACTAGCTTTTGGGCCACTTCTCAAATGTTCTCAAACCAAGTCGTCTTTCTCGCTTTCGGTCGATTGGGATTCTCGGTGGGTGTGGAGACAATGCGGGAAGAGAGACAAAGGAGATTTGCATGAAATTATACCCAACTATTATTTTGAACAAAAACAGGCGTGTGGCAGAGAAAACAATAATATTTGCTTTTGCAGTGGTTCCTCATTCCCACTCGCCGCGCGTCCAAAATAGGCAAATTCTCTTAATCCCAACGGGCTAGATTTTTCAAAAGAATAACTGTTAGTCACAGAAGAAAGTAAAAATTTTAACAATAAGTATAAATCGGAATTAAAATTTAAAGAATAAAGTCTCTTCCAAGCACTTGACAATGACAAAAACTATCCATAAATGACTCGGTGGCCTTGGCAGGAGCACAATAAAAATTGTTTCTAAAACTTTAAGCAATCTGTTTCCGTGTCCGCGTACAGTACATTTGAGTTTTTGATAGTAAAGAAAAGTGTTAAATGTTTTATTTAAATTGATTTAGAAAAATGATGTAGATCTATTCAAGCTTTAAATTTCGATGTATTAATTAGTATTATCGGTATTGTCTGAGTATTATAAAATTTATAATGAATGTATTAGATCAATTCAATCATATAATCAATTTTACATTTATTAGTTAATTAATTAATAAAGATCATAAGATTAATTGCTTAAATTTTAACAAAATTAATTAAAGTTGATTAATGATTGATTGTCTTAATCTAAAATTGAAATTTATTTAAAAAATAAATATATCTATTTTTGGATTCAATTGTTATTGTTTTTGTTTTCAAATTATTTTAATTTTATTTACGGCTCCAGTTCAGCGAGTAGGTTTAAGTTGGAAACACTTTTGCTTCCAAATTGAGCCTATGAGTTTTAGTAAGTTGTTTACTAGAGCTGGCTGCCAATTCTCTCCCAATGTGATTTTTTAAATTTTTTGTTTGACTTGTTGCGAGAGAATAAATGAATTGAATTTAATTTCTTGATATTATTTAGTTTTTAAATATTTAAAAAAAAAATTAAATTATTTGTTAATTAGCTCTAAACTTTAAACCATGGCTGAAATTTGAAACCGATTTTTAATAACTTCGCTTGGAGAATAAAATGATTATTTTTCTTTTTTTTCCAAAATTTGGAGCAGGTGCTGACCTTAGTGAGGTTGTTCCTGGTGTTCCTGTTTCCGAGTCTGCAGGCGAGGGTGGACGACCTGAAGGGCTTGGGCAGCACCGGCGGCGGCACCGCCGGCTTCTTGAACTGGCCGTTGTTGTTGATGTTGGTGGCGTCGTGGAGGACGTTGATGTTGCTCGGGGGCAACGAGAGCGGGCGCCGACACTTGGGCGGCGCCGCGTAGTGCAGCACGCTGACCGAGGGCGGCGCCGGCTGGCAGGGCACGCCGGACACACGGCGCTGCACCAACTCAGGTTTGCCGCCGCCCTGCACGATTGTCGTCCGGAAGTCGGACGCGTCCGGCGCCAGGTGCACTTTGATCCGGTACATTCTTTCTCACTCAATCATTTCCCACTTTGAATGAAAAAAAAAATAATTATAAATAAAATTTGAACTTTATTTATAAATAAATATTAATATTATATTTTTATTGAACCGATTTTCTCAACAAAAAGGTAAATATTTATAGAATATTAATTAGAAAAAGTCCAACAAAGTAAAAATAAAAATTATTTAAATAAAAAAATAAGTATTAGTTACATTTATTTATTGAAATATTTAGGGATAATTAATTGAAGCTAATTTTAGACCATCTAACTAATAATTAAATTATGTACGGAAAAATTCAGAAAATATAGACAAAAAATGTATTTGCCGTGGGAATTTGTTTGTGAATGTACCTGGACGCAACAAGCTGGAACGCGAAAATAGAAGCAAAAAGAATCGCCGCACTGGTTTGCTGCACTGTTTAAAATGGAATGGTCGATTTTACGTATCTGTGGTGCAAACTATTGTTCTGGCGTATGCCGTAAAAGTACGTCTCTTCTCAAGAAGGGATTTTACCTGAGCGCCCGCACTTTTCCGCCTCCCCTCCCGTAGATGCATTTTACGGATTTGTTACAGAAAATTTCTCCCTTCGCACAGAATATTACGTACTGTGTCCGTATTTTTGTTTTACTACTTTCTTACGTATTTTTATGGTAGTTTTACAGAAAATCACAAACTTTATTTTTGCTATAAATGGCTACTTTTATTTTCAATAAATTAATAATCACGGATTTACAGAGAACTCACATGAAGTAAAAATTAATATTGAGGTAGATGAAACTCTTGACGTAGTCTTTTTCAGAAAATCCTTTTGGATCGTATCTTGCGTTGATGAAAACACTGTCTGAAAAATAAAAATAAATTTCCTTAGCAAAACATTGATGAGAAATCTCTGTATAAAATACCTTTTGCGCATTGCCAACACAACTTCCATTGACGAGGGACGAGTTTATTCCAAAAGTTCTCACTTCAAATCCAATCTAAAAAAATAAAAATAATATGCATAAATTTTAGCTGCGCGCGACTTTTTAATAACCATTAAATAAACGTATTTTCTTCTAATAAAAATGATTAATCCAAACTTACATTTTTCAAGTACTCGCGGAGGCCTCCAACTGGATATTAAGCGGCTTCGCTGCAAAATATTCCATGATTTTAAGAGATGTTGTGCCCGATGCAGCAAAGAGGAGTTCTCTTTGTGGCGAAAGACGCTAAACTGATTGCAGCCGAGGCGCGAGGGTTGAATTTTGTCAGTTGCTGGCGTGGGTGATGACGTTTTCAGCCTCTCTCCCTATTCTCTCCTGAGCTTTCCTCCCCTAACATGCATGCACTCAGGTAAAAGTCCGAAAGCGAGATGTAAAATTACGGATCTGTTACAGAGACTTGCGCTACATCCCAAATACGTAAAATCGCATATCAATTTCATCCGTAAATGTATTTTACGACGCAAAGTACAGAAAATTATGTCTGTCCGTACTATTTTTACTTCGTTTCTGCCGTGACACGGACGTAATTTTCCGATTTTTTTTGACAGTGTGGTTCTCCTGCAGTCAAAGCAGTTGGCGCACTACTGACTTCAAACTCCTTCGGCTCTTTTCCTCTGGAGAACCCGGCCAGGGTGGGGACTCTTGTTGTTGTTGCAGACACGCGAGAAAACGAGTTCTGCTGCTGCTGCTCTTTGTTCCGAAACGAAAAAGTTCAACTTGGGTCCAATTTAAAAATCCTCACTTGACATGTTAACAAAGTTTTTTAATTGCAATAATTAATCATATTTTAACTAGAGCATTTTTTTTAATCCAATGCTTAGAAAGTATGTTCAAAATTTAAGCATATAATTTACCTTATTTAAGTAAATAATTTTTTGTAATAAGCATCAAGTCTAGTGTTTTTGAAAATTATTTGATTTAATCTGCATGTTGAAATTGAAACAAACACAGAACTAATTCCTTTAAAATTTATTATATTATTTATACAGATTTTTTTTATCTTTTATAATTTATTAAATCTGTAATTTTTAGTTACAAATTATTTCCTTTTTAAAGAAAAATATTACAATAAATAAATATCATTAAAATAAATTTTAATATTTTTAATCCAACTTCAAGTGAGAACTAAAAGAAAATTATCAATTATAGTTTTAGTGCCAAAAATATATTTTTTTATGACTATTCGGCAAAATTAACATAGTGATGAGAAGAGGCTTATGGATTAGGGTTTCCTCGTTTTGGCTCTTTTCTAATATTTCACCGGAAAGTGTGCCGCAGGTCACGCCTACGCTCCGAACTTGGAAATACGGAATAGGTGCGACCTCTTCGGAGGGCACCGGAGGAATTTGTGGGCCGTGACTTGTGCAGTCGGCGAATTTGATTACACGGTGTGTCGGACAAGGGTCTATTCAGAGCCAAAAAGTGGAAATAACCAGACGCGCGGCGCACCTGTTAATGAGAAAAAACAACAAAAGAACTGGACCGACTCCTTTTTACAGTTGCCAAAATTCATAACCAGTTATGTCATTGTAATTGCAAATATAATATTAACTTCTTCCAATTTCTCCTCTAGGTAATTATAATTTTAGTCCAAGTAGCTGCACAATTTTTGTTTAAAAGCAAAATGATTCTCAATAACAGAATCAAGGACTAAAAATATTTATATATTCTGCACGAATTTTGCCACTTTCGATGCTGAGTTCTTATTTGGTTAAATAGAAAATGCCATAATTATAGAATGAAAGTGAGTCTGTTGTAGAAGAAGATGAGGGTATCTCATGAATAATTTTTATGATTTTTTTTTTTATGCCGAGCCAAAGTTTGGACTGGTCTTGTTTGAAAGGTGATAAGCGCGAAAAACACTCTCGACCATATTTGGTTTCGTAATTATAAGTCTCGGAAAGGAATTCCAGCGGCGATTAAAACCAGTTTTTCGCATGCGTCTCACTGTATAAGTCGGCGGAGAACGTTGCAGATTTTCTTTCGCGCTTCCTCACGCAAAATCTGCGATCTCGCATACAGATACAATAAAACTCAACTCATAACTTTTGCAAATAAGAAAATTAAAATTAAATTCTCAGAACGTGCAACTTTCTTGCGAAATTTTCAGCTATTAATTAACATGTATTTAAGTGATTTATAGACAAATTAAATTATTTTCATAGGCTATCTTTATATAGATTGTTATTTTGCTACTTTGCTTTCTAATTCTTTCAGAAGTTTTTTTTAACAAAATTTGAATTTGTGCTACATGTTTATAGCTAATAGCTTATACATAGTTTTAATCAATCAGAAGAGTTTAATTTTCATTAAAATAATATTTATAACTTCAATAAAATTTATAATATTCTTTTAATAAATAATATAAAACGGTGGTTCATTTAGTCATTTCTAATTTAATTGAATTGATTCCAATTCAAAAATAATTTTTGTATTAAAATAATTTTTTTATTTTTTACTCAAAAAGAAAATTGCTTTCATAACAATTAGCTTCAAGAAAATAATTCTAAAGAGTAAATAATTTTAATTTTTTGTCTCCGTTTGAGGCTAAAGTTATACATAGCATTAATAAATTAATGTAAAGCAAAAATAAGAATTTTTTTAAAATAATTTTTATTTAGCACATTCATAAAAGATTGAATTGTAAGATTTTCATAACACACATTGGCATCAGCGCACATGTATGTACGTTTACATGTTGGTTTACGTATTCCTACGTACATAATTACCTAATCATTTTTATGTTCCTAGCTTACTAATATCCATTATTTTTTGTGTTTACGTAAGGCGCGCCTCCAACTTTGTATATAAATTCTTAATATCGCACGGTCTATGATTGTATGTTTTGTAATGTAATTATTATCTTGTAATGTAATTATGAATATATGTATGCGCGAGTATCTTTTGCTTTCTACGTGTATTTTTGAATTTCCTACCTGCATGTTGGTCCATTTGATGAATCGCATTGAATCCCTCCTGCGAATGCTGGCCTGGTAGCGTTTGACACCGGTTTTGAAATTGTTCTCCTTGTTGTTGCTCAAAGGCGATCCGGAGAAGTTGACCGGCAACGAAGCATTTCGCTTCATGCTGCGGACCGTAGAGAATTTTTTACTCGGAGCCATCCCGTCTCTTGCAAAGCAAACTGAACTTGAACGAACGAGTCAATATGTGCGAAACAATTCACGAAGTCGAAATGTCAACAAATAACCGCCTGATCACTGCTGGGCTTTTGCCACTTTTTGAATTAAAAAAGCACCAAAGCAGATTGGCCAACCAAATTAACACATAAAAAAAGATTCAAAATTTTGAAATTATGATAAAAACAAGGTAAATAGGCATAAAAATATAAATTATGAAACTTATTGTCTTCTTTTAAAATAAATTCGCCCAAACTTTTATTTAATTATGAAAAAGTTCTATTCCGGCAAATTCTGTTTTGTTGGTAATTCTTCGCGATAGCTACAATCCAGTTACGCGGGTTACGCCAGCATCGTGAAGTTAGCCAGAAATCCTAGCCAGTCGCCGGAAGTTAGCCAGTTGGCTGGAAATTGGCCACTCGCGTCATTTGGGCGGATGTATCGAATATCGATTCCCGATTTTTTAAAGTGGGGAGCATAGGGGAGGTGAGTATTTATCGCAACTTTTTACAGTTGACCTTCTAATATTCTTCTCATAGACCAAGTCGCAGCAATAAATCGCAGTGTTCTAAAAGTGCACGGAGGAAGGAATTTCAGAAGCTAATTTGAAAAACAGTTCCAATGGTCTTAAAAAAATTATATTTAAAAGTAAATACTGTGGTGACACACACTCGCGAAATATTGTCGAACAGAATAATAAATATTTGTATCAATTATTGTCTCTGCGAGTAAGGTTAGCCCATGGCCATAGCTTTTCATATAAAGGAAACTTAACTTCATTCCGAGCAAGCAACGCGCGCGCTTTTCCGAATCTCCCGCCGACCTTTCCCTGATGGCGTGGACCCTTCAGCCAACCTGAGAAGACCGATCGGCGCGCGCCACCTCAGGGCCCAATCAGACCCACGGTCGAGCCTCGAAGCCGGCTCTCCGTGCCTGAGAGCCTCAGACGAGCGACGCCCGAAACGCAGACAACACCCTGTCCTATCTTCAGCCCATTCGGTTAATGGCGACCACGTTTTACTAAATTCCTAATTGACCGGTAATTATCGCTTTTCCTCCGTTTCCTCAACTTCCTAAGTTCAGACTAGCTTTTCCGAATCCTATTTTGGCCATCTTTTGTATTTTGTTCTCTCTATATATATTTAATAATAACTTTAACTTTTATCTTTAACTTTAATTAATTGCTTTTAATTAATAACTCAAACCTAGTCACAACTAAAGTCATACTAAATTAAAGTAACTTTAGTCCAAGCCATTTAAGGAGTGCTTGGGCTATTTATTTAAAGGATTAAAGAGATATTAAGAGATAAGTTTGAAGTCACATGGGGGATGAAATGCACATGGGGGCCAGAGGGACATCGAGATAAGCCAATTAAAGTTCAACTCCAGTCTGCAAATTAAGGCGCCGCTCGGCTCCAGCTCCGCTCTTCATTAGTTTTAGGTGTTCAATGATTAATACTAATTAGCCCCTGTCGTGGTGACACGACAAATACAACGAAAATTATATTTAAAAGAAAATACAACGAAAATTAATCAAGCCGAGGGACGCATGGGTAAAACTAAAAATAATGCAAAATCCCTAAGCCTAATAAACAATTGCAAATTTTTGTTTTGCGAATTTTGAAAAAATATCAATTAAAAATTAATGGAAATTTTAAATATGTAAAATAGGCAACCATCGATGGCTGCAACTTTATTTACACGAAATTAAAAATATTGAAACTTAAAACAATAAAACTTAAAAACAAATGCGCTAAAACCATGCATTGGAACTTAGAGAAATTTTAATCAAAGTTAACCTTCATCACCCTGAACAAGAAAAACTGCCAGCCATCGATGGCCGCATCATAGTTTTTAACGAAAAAATAATTGAAAGTTTGAAAATTTGGAAAAAAGGCAATAAATTTTACTCGGGGCGGCATTGCACAAAAACTATGCATTGGAAGTTAATGCTGTTAATGTAATTTTAATAAAAGTTAGCCCTTATCATCCTGAATGCCTGAATGTAAAAATCTGCCCGCCATCGATGGCCGCATCACAGTTTTTTAAGAAAAAAATAATTAAAAGTTTGAAAAAATGGTAAAAAGGCAATAAATTTTACTCAGGGTGGCGTTGCACAAAAACAAAGGATTGGCAGTAAATGTAATTTTAATCAAAGTTAACCTTCATCACCCTGAACATAAAAAAGGGCCAGCCATTGATGGCCGCGACTTAGTTTTTTTATTTGAAAAATAATAAGTTGGGAAATATTAAAAAAAAATTCAAAAATAATACTAAAAGTGGAATTGCTCGAATACTATGCATTGAAAGTTAATGATATTTTAATCAGAGATAACTTGAATCATCTTGAACGTAAAAAAGTGCCAGCCATTGATGGCCGCGACTTAGTTTTTTTATTTGAAAAATAATAAGTTGTAAAACATTAAAAAATTTTCAAAAATAATGCTAAAAGTGGAATTGCTCGAATACTATGCATTGGAAGTTAATGAAATTTTAATCAGAGGTAACTTGAATCATCTTGAACATAAAAAAGTGCCAGTAATTGATGGCCGCAACTTTGTTTTTTTATTTGAAAAATAATAAGTTGAAAAAAAGTTTCAAAAATAATGCTAAAAGTGGAATTACTCGAATACTATGCATTGGAAGTTAATGAAATTTTAATCAGAGGTAACTTGAATCATCTTGAACGTAAAAATGTGCCAGCCATTGATGGCCGCGACTTTGTTTTTTTATTTGAAAAATAATAAGTTGGGAAAAATTAAAAAAAAATTCAAAAATAATACTAAAAGTGGAATTTCTCGAATACTATGCATTGAAAAGTAATGAAATTTTAATCAGAGGTAACTTAAATCATCTTAAACGTAAAAAAGTGCCAGCCATTGATGGCCGCGACTTAGTTTTTTTATTTGAAAAATAATAAGTTGTAAAAAATTAAAAAATTTTCAAAAATAATGCTAAAAGTGGAATTGCTCGAATACTATGCATTGGAAGTTAATGAAATTTTAATCAGAGGTAACCTTAATCATCTTAAACATAAAAAAGTGCCAGCCATTGATGGCCGCGACTTTGTTTTTTTATTTGAAAAATAATAAGTTGGGAAAAATTAAAAAAAAATTAAAAAATAATACTAAAAGTGGAATTGCTCGAATACTATGCATTGGAAGTTAATGAAATTTTAATCAGAGGTAACTTGAATCATCTTGAACGTAAAAATGTGCCAGCCATTGATGGCCGCGACTTTGTTTTTTTATTTGAAAAATAATAAGTTGGGAAAAATTAAAAAAAAATTCAAAAATAATACTAAAAGTGGAATTTCTCGAATACAATGCATTGAAAGTTAATGAAATTTTAATCAGAGGTAACTTGAATCATCTTAAACATAAAAAAGTGCCAGCCATTGATGGCCGCGACTTTGTTTTTTTATTTGAAAAATAATAAGTTGAAAAAATTTTCAAAAATACTGCTAAAAGTGGAATTACTCGAATACTATGCATTGGAAGTTAATGAAATTTTAATCAGAGGTAACTTTTGACATCTTGAACATAAAAAAGTGCCAGCCATTGATGGCCGCGACTTTGTTTTTTTATTTGAAAAATATAAGTTGGGAAAAATTAAAAAAAAATTCAAAAATAATACTAAAAGTGGAATTTCTCGAATACTATGCATTGCAATAGCAGTATTTTTGAAAATTTTTTCAACTTATTATTTTTCAAATAAAAAAACAAAGTCGCGGCCATCAATGGCTGGCACTTTTTTATGTTTAAGATGATTCAAGTTACCTCTGATTAAAATTTCATTAACTTTCAATGCATTGTATTCGAGAAATTCCACTTTTAGTATTATTTTTGAATTTTTTTTTAATTTTTCCCAACTTATTATTTTTCAAATAAAAAAACAAAGTCGCGGCCATCAATGGCTGGCACATTTTTACGTTCAAGATGATTCAAGTTACCTCTGATTAAAATTTCATTAACTTCCAATGCATAGTATTCGAGCAATTCCACTTTTAGTATTATTTTTTAATTTTTTTTTAATTTTTCCCAACTTATTATTTTTCAAATAAAAAAACAAAGTCGCGGCCATCAATGGCTGGCACTTTTTTATGTTTAAGATGATTAAGGTTACCTCTGATTAAAATTTCATTAACTTCCAATGCATAGTATTCGAGCAATTCCACTTTTAGCATTATTTTTGAAAATTTTTTAATTTTTTACAACCTATTATTTTTCAAATAAAAAAACTAAGTCGCGGCCATCAATGGCTGGCACTTTTTTACGTTTAAGATGATTTAAGTTACCTCTGATTAAAATTTCATTATTTTTCAATGCATAGTATTCGAGAAATTCCACTTTTAGTATTATTTTTGAATTTTTTTTTAATTTTTCCCAACTTATTATTTTTCAAATAAAAAAACAAAGTCGCGGCCATCAATGGCTGGCACATTTTTACGTTCAAGATGATTCAAGTTACCTCTGATTAAAATTTCATTAACTTCCAATGCATAGTATTCGAGCAATTCCACTTTTAGCATTATTTTTGAAAATTTTTTAATGTTTTACAACTTATTATTTTTCAAATAAAAAAACTAAGTCGCGGCCATCAATGGCTGGCACTTTTTTACGTTCAAGATGATTCAAGTTATCTCTGATTAAAATATCATTAACTTTCAATGCATAGTATTCGAGCAATTCCACTTTTAGTATTATTTTTGAATTTTTTTTTAATATTTCCCAACTTATTATTTTTCAAATAAAAAAACTAAGTCGCGGACATCAATGGCTGGCCCTTTTTTATGTTCAGGGTGATGAAGGTTAACTTTGATTAAAATTACATTTACTGCCAATCCTTTGTTTTTGTGCAACGCCACCCTGAGTAAAATTTATTGCCTTTTTACCATTTTTTCAAACTTTTAATTATTTTTTTCTTAAAAAACTGTGATGCGGCCATCGATGGCGGGCAGATTTTTACATTCAGGCATTCAGGATGATAAGGGCTAACTTTTATTAAAATTACATTAACAGCATTAACTTCCAATGCATAGTTTTTGTGCAATGCCGCCCCGAGTAAAATTTATTGCCTTTTTTCCAAATTTTCAAACTTTCAATTATTTTTTCGTTAAAAACTATGATGCGGCCATCGATGGCTGGCAGTTTTTCTTGTTCAGGGTGATGAAGGTTAACTTTGATTAAAATTTCTCTAAGTTCCAATGCATGGTTTTAGCGCATTTGTTTTTAAGTTTTATTGTTTTAAGTTTCAATATTTTTAATTTCGTGTAAATAAAGTTGCAGCCATCGATGGTTGCCTATTTTACATATTTAAAATTTCCATTAATTTTTAATTGATATTTTTTCAAAATTCGCAAAACAAAAATTTGCAATTGTTTATTAGGCTTAGGGATTTTGCATTATTTTTAGTTTTACCCATGCGTCCCTCGGCTTGATTAATTTTCGTTGTATTTTCTTTTAAATATAATTTTCGTTGTATTTACTTTTAAATATAATTTTTTTAAGACCATTGGAACTGTTTTTCAAATTAGCTTCTGAAATTCCTTCCTCCGTGCACTTTTAGAACACTGCGATTTATTGCTGCGACTTGGTCTATGAGAAGAATATTAGAAGGTCAACTGTAAAAAGTTGCGATAAATACTCACCTCCCCTATGCTCCCCACTTTAAAAAATCGGGAATCGATATTCGATACATCCGCCCAAATGACGCGAGTGGCCAATTTCCAGCCAACTGGCTAACTTCCGGCGACTGGCTAGGATTTCTGGCTAACTTCACGATGCTGGTTAAGCCCCCTTTTGACTGTCAAATCGAAAACGCTACCCACGTGGAGTGGTGTTAGTTGTGTCTCGGAAAATTTAAAAATTTGGTTTTTCACGCTTCCTTATCTCAAATTCAGAATTTTAAAACTATAAAAATTACTTTTCTCTTCGTGAACCATGTTGGCGGAAAGAAGAAGAAGAGCAAATTACGTGCTAAATCCACGAAATAATACGTGGGCTGCGGGTATGTTATGATTCAAAACAATATAATTATTTTTTCATATGAATCTTCTCTCTTTTTAAAGATGATAAAAACTTGGGCAAGAAGTTGATGGAGAAAATGGGTTGGAGCAGTGGCAAGGGGCTGGGCCGTGACGAGCAGGGTGACACGGAGCACATACGAGTGAACTACAAAAACGACAACAAAGGTCATGTCATAATTCACTTCTGGTTCTAAATTTAACACAAAATAATTTTTTCTAGGTATGGGATTTAGTGGGCCGATCGATGACCCAGTTCTGCACCAAACTGACTTCAACGAGCTGCTTTCGAAGCTGAACGAAGCCCAGGGTTCCGAAGCGCCAAAACCTGAAGGACTGAGCTCTCTTGAGAAGAAGTCCGAGTCGTCAAAGTCTCGCCTTCAGTAAAATAATTTTTTAATTTTCAAAACAAGTTTTTAATTTTGAGTGTGAATTCAGTTACAAGAAGTTCACCAGAGGCAAAGACCTGAGCCGCTACTCTGCCAAGGACCTTGAGTGCATAATTGGCAATGGAAAGAAGAAGAAAGTGGAGGAGGTCGAGGTTAAAGTGGAGGAGAGCAAGGTGGGCGAACAGGAGCACAGTCACGGCGTGGACACGGTTGCTGGGGGCTCTATGGCAGATTATTTTAAAAGGAAGATGATGGAGCGAGGTTTGTTGAAGCCGAAAGAGGAGTCGAAGGATGAGGAATCGGGAGGCAAGGAATTTGGATTTGTTGGTTTTGGCTTTAGTGGTCCTATTAAGATGGAGGAGGTAAAGGAAGAGCCGAAGAAAAGTAAAAAGAGAAAAAATAAGTTCGGTGATGCGGAGTGTATTCCCTCTTTCGAAGAATTAAAAAATTGCGAATTGGAGACAGATGAAAAACCAAAGAAGAGAAAAAAGAAGAATAAGAAGCACAAAGAGGAAAATGAAGAAGTTCCTGAAGAAGTACCAGATAATGTCCAAATTCAGGAAGATAAGATAGTGCTCGAGGAATCTGTTATCAAAAACCAAGGAGAAGAAATTGAAGAAGTTTCGGAAAAGGCTAAAAAGAAGAAGAAGAAAAGTAAAAAGAATAAAAGCTTAACTTGTGATTAATAAATCCTCAATTTTACAAGAAAAATTATCAAACTTTCATTTGAACAGCATTTGAATCCATAAGAATTAAGGAAATTGTTGCTCTTTTTTCTCACATCCATAAAATAGTTTATTAATTTAAATATTTGAAATAGAAAGCTGCATATTTTAAATAACGGTTAAAACATTGTGAAAGTTTGTTCCAATCGGTTTAAATAAAATTCTGTATTCTAAATGGGAATGAAGATATATTTTTTTTATTTCTATTATTCATAATCACATTACTTATATCCAGCATGGTTAGTTAGTCTCTTTGAAAAACAAACGTTTCTTTAGCTCATCCCTTTGATTTTGTATTTCACAATCAATCAACTGATCAAGATCAAATTTGATCCCGGATATGCTAAGCAAACACAAATCCTGCACTGAAATGTTCACAAGTAAGCAAGTGGTCACCAGAGAGAACCAGTGACCTATTTACAGAACCGCCGTTTCAAAATTTTCATATCTCTCTGGCGTAAGTGACCATTGCATGGCCTTGACAAATTTTACAATAGGCAGGAAGGTGATGGTCAACAATCATTCTCTACTATATAGCCTAATACATTAAAAATTAAACACCAACCACAGGTCACAGTCTAAAACAAATCAGCCACCGCAACGAGTGCCTCATCAACCAGGTACTCGAACAAAGTGAAAATAGAAACGAGAAAATTTCCGCCTTGTCAAAATAAAATATCAAAATTATAAAAATTTATGCATAGAGAGTGAGATGCAGCAAATATGTAATAATAAATATAAAGAAACTAGTTTGACGTTGGGAATCACAAAAAAACTTCTTTCAACCGAAAACCTCTTGCGAAGCGTAGACGGTGTAGAGAAAACCGTCCGGGTCTCTTTCTGCTTGGTAAAGCTGGCGCATCGTCAGGGACACGGAGGCCAGACTTCTCTGGTTCACCAGCAGGAAGAACGTTTGGGAGTCCCGCAGATTCAAACGACGTCTGAAATTGTATTTATTAATATGGTATTTTTTATTAAAAAATAATAAATTCCATACCTAATAATGCTGACAAGATCGGCCACAGTTAGGTACTCAGGAACCAAAAACTTGGTCCTGTCCAGCAAGGGCAGTTGTTTTTCTCCACTCCACCTTTCGATGATGATTGGAATCTTGTTTGGGTGCTGCTCCCTGATTTGTTCGACGTCTCGGACACGTTGGGCTGCAAGTTTCGCAAAATCACAAAATGGCCTTGATTTTTTTTTTCATGGGAAAACCTTCTGAGGGGCTTGTTATGTAAGAAAGGGGAATTTAATGAGCCATATCCGATTAAACTATGTTTTTATCGGGGGTGAAGGGTCAAAAGGGTACTTTGGTGTGCACTTTCTAGTGGGACTCACCGTAGGTCCGTCTCTGCTTGAAACTGCGCGGATTGCTTCCGTCCGCGGTGTTGGACATGGTGGTGCTGCTGCTGGTCGACTGCTCGCGTCTAAACGGGTTGCCTCATCAAGACGATGGACACTTTTCGGCCACTTTTGCTGCACTTTTGGTAATTAGATTAGATTAGAGTATTTATTAAACACACTAGGTGTACAACATATGCGATTACATAAATGACATAAATATATTAATATAAATATAAGTAGCTAATTTATTCCTATATTATTAAAACGACTGTTCTTATAACTATACAAGCACATTAATATCGTTGATGGGCCGCTTCGCGCAGACTCATCTTTTTATTGGGACATTCAGTTATATGGTATTGCTCACATTTCCCCCCACAATGTTCACATTTGCATTCATCCATAGCTTCATAATGAAACTTTTTATTTTCACAAAACAAATAATGATATCCGTGGCAAGCAAATCTTGTAAAAACATATCGATCTTTAAACATTGCACGTTGCCAGTTGAGATTATTCATTGTTTCAGTCTCATAAAAAGTATCTCTTATACCTAATAGTTTGTTCATTGTTTTATTTTCTTGGAACTTTTTATAAGCAGTCGTTTCAGATAATGAAAACTTATTTCTTAAGTCAGACACAAAAAGATCAGTATCCACTAATTCATATGTAAATCTGGATTTATTGTATTTAGAGAGGCCCAGAACCCGTTTAAGGTACCTTGTCTTAACTCTCTCAAGTTTTTCAAAATCTGCCCCTGACAAGAGTGGCCATATAATATCAATGCCATATGATGCTATAGGAGAAACTTTTAAGTCAAACAATTTCAGTGCAGTTTCTGTCGATAAATTATTCAGTTCTTTAATATTATATGTAGCGAATAAGGCAGCCCTAACTCTTTTTTCAATATGTTTGGTAAATACTATCCCTGATGATTGAAATATGACACCCAGATATGTAAATTCAGCTACTCGCTCAATTTCAGCTCCATCTAAAAACAACTGATCTGTTTTCGCATATCTACCTCTTCCCCCATTTCTAAATTTCATTAATTTACATTTGTTTAAATTGAGTTTTAAACTGCGTAGTAGAAGGAAATCTCTTATTCTAACAAGTGCTATTCTTAACTCCTCCAAATTCTCAGAGGTAAGCACAATATCATCAGCGTAATATATAGCTTTAACACTTTTCAAATCTGTTAAAACGGTATTAATGTCTGATAGCGAGAAATTAAAAAGGAAAGGTGAAGTACAGCCTCCTTGCCGAACACCATTTGATTGAGTTATTAATCTAGAGGTGGTAACGCCGTCAATAATTCTAAGATAATTTACGTCTAAACTAAATGCTAAAAACTTGAGCTCAATGAAGGATAGTTTCTTACTGTTAATGAGTTTTTGAAAGATAAATTTCCTGTCTACAGAATCGAATGCTTTTCTAACATCTAGAAAAACAGCATAAAGCGAGGTCTTTTTCTCCCCATATACAGTGCTTTGAATTTCTGTCAGCAATTGCTCCACCGCCTTTAAGGTTGATTTCCCCTTTACAAAGCCGTACTGATTTTCCGGTATTTCATCAATTAGTGAGGCGTACACTCTTGCATGTAGGACTCGATCCAACAAGTTATAAAACGCAGAACTAATGCAAATACCCCTGTATGAATTTGTATCCTCCGAATCCCCCTTCCCTTTATATAAAAGTTTTAAGGTTGAATATCTCCAGTCCTCTGGGTAGCAGCCTTTTTGCACACATAAATTCAAAAATTGAGTCACCTCAGGAAGCAAGTGTGCTAAAATCAGTTTCAAATTCTCGTTTCTAATACAATCCGGACCCGGCGCTTTCTTATTTTTCATCCTTTTCATAGCTAAGGTAACTTCCTCTTGCATAATTGGTATAAAAGGAACATCTGATTGATATGTATCAAGCAACGTTTGAAGATTTAAAGAACTATTTTCATTCAAGCGTCCCTCATTAAAAATTTGATTAAAGTTATCCTCCCACTCTTCCATCATTATGTTATTTGAGTTATAGAATTTTTTAGTCAAGCTTAATATTTTATAACATTTATTATCTTCTGCTTCTCTCAAGATATTCACCTCCATTTTACGTACATATTCATTCTTTTTCCATTCACACAATCTCTTATAATCCCTTTTCAAGTCTGTATAAAAAGGCAAAAATAGTTTTATCTGTTCTTTCATACCCAAACTTTCAGCGAAAGACAACCACTCCCTCCATTCAAACAACTTGTTTTTGAAATTGTAACATTCTGAGTCAAACCAAGGTTGACTCACCCGTTCCGTTTGTTTCCGCGGTATATTCGCCTCTTGCAACATATTAAGAATATTCCCATAAAATCCCTCTATACTCCCTGCTTCTAACTCCTGCAGGAGGAAAGACTGATATTTGTTATCAATCAATTCTTTCAGCACTGAATCATCTAATTTTATAAGACTCCGTAAGTTGAGACCATCCTGTAGTTGCTGTTTCCTAATGAAGTCAAAGTCTATTGATAGGATGTTATGTTTCCTGATTGTCGGTTCAATATTAAAGTTGCGGGAATGTATCGAAGGTCCCTTAAATATTAAATCTATTACACTAGATCCTCTCTTAAAGTTATAAGTGCTTTGATAAGGAAAATCATTAACTAGCGTTAGACTATTTTCTTCCGTAAAATCTAAGAGTGCTTCAGCTTTTCTATTTTCAATGTCTAACCTGCAATTGAAATCTCCAGCAAGGATAAAATTGTCCCAATTTGAAATATATTTTGTGATAGAGAGTAATTCATCTGTCAGAGTATGCACTCTCATTTTTGGATCCAAATAACAGGCAGCAATCGATATCTCTTCGAAGTTTAAAATTAAGAAATTCTCCAAATATTGTACATTTACTAATTTCCCCAATTTTGAGTTAAAATATACAGAGATTCCCCTCATCGGTCGCCCTCTTCCATTGTTGTGAGATGCTAGAATATGTCTAGCATAAAAACCTTGTATTTGCAAAGGCTTCTTTAAAAATGTTTCAGTTAAGATCAGAATATCATATCTCGTAAATATTTCTAGTTCCGTAATTTGAAAAGCCCTGTTTAGTCCTTCACAGTTCCAGAGACCTAATTTTATATTGTTATTTGAACTCACATCGTTGCTGGTTCGACAAGGGATAGTTAAAAATCACGATTTGGAGGCTTGGAGACCCGACCACTTTTCGTAATAACATCAACACTGTTGTCCACCTTGTCTTCTCGCCCTTTTGTATCATCTCCAGGGTCTGCATCATCAGTCAGTCCCACAGAATCTCCTCCAGTCTGGTTGCCGCTGTCCTTCGCTTCCTCTGACTCCCCTTCTGGAAGGGTGATAACTGGGTCGAAGAGCCGACCGCACTGCTGCCATCTACGAGAGTTGTACTTGCCATAGAAGTGCAGCGTCACATCACAATCAAGCTTGGTCAATTCCGTGTACAGCGAGTTCATGACCCACAGTCGATTCAGCCTATCCAGGCCACTGTTCAAGTACGTCATAGCAATTTGTTCAATGCCCTCCTCTTTGATGATTTTTGCCAAGCACTGCTGGGCCTTCTTGACGTCCCTCAGAAAAGTTTCCGGAGAACGTTCCAGCTTGTCCGGGGAATTCATTTTTGTGACCAGATGAAAAACTGTGCCCAGAGGACCTCCTTCTTGTCGGATGACTTCACCAATTTTGCTTTTCCCAGGAATTGCGTTTGGTTTCCCAGCAACTTCAGTCACATCTTTAGCCGCTCCACTGGAAGTCCATAGATCAGAAGCAATTGCATGTACCTTAATTTCCTCCTTAACCTCAACGATGTTGACTCCCTCATGCTCAACAATCTTCACTTTCGAGCCAGGTACAGCAAGAGATTCCTTATTTTTCAAGGCCAGGTCGAGTTTACCTCCATCCCTTGTGTTTTCTATGTACTCATTCACATATGGAGTGTCATCAGCGGGTGTTAGAGGATTTGGTGGTGGATAGTAGCCCTGCCTGCCACGCTGCCGGTTGGCTCTATATTGCCCTCCATAACGTCCTCCGTTTTGCATCGTTCCTCCTTCTCTCCGATAAGGTACTCTATTGTATGGGCCTCCACCGTAAGGGCCTCCTTGGGCATGATGCTGACCCTGCGGAAAATTTGGAAATTGAGGCTTATCCATCATCATAACTCTTTTCATCAGCCATTGCATTTGCTCCTGTAGTTTGGCCGTCGTATCCCTAAAAAGGGTTCTCTCCTCCTCAAGTTTTTCCCAAAGTTCATATTGCCTCTGCAGTAATTGCCGAATTGTCTCATCCTTGCTTTGATTCTGGGTACCGTAGTACTGTTGTGTTGGCACCCCTGCTTCAGCGAAACCGTCCGGCTGTCCTGTTTGTATGAATGGTGGTATACCTGGATGGGCTGGATGTAGGGCAACGCCCCTCCATTGAGCATGCTGCATGAATATCTGACCTTGATTTGACACCTGCATCTGCTCAGGCCAATGCGGCGCCGGCGATACCCAAACTTCCTGCCTGCGCCCATGCTGCTGTTGGTTTAGCTGAATGTGAGAGCGTCCATCCTGACTTTGGGAATTTTGTTCTTGTTCCGTTGGACACCCTGGAGACCTCGCCGCCTCTCTCCGATTTCCATGGCTCTCCTCGTTCCCCTTCTGACCTGGGCCGATGTTGGGAAATTGATTTGCGAGTGAGTGGGCTGACGGAAGTGCACAGTTTATGGTGGGTTTAGAAGACGCAAACCCCTGTGGCGCTTCCAGCCACACTTCAGGGGCACCCATGACCTTAAAACTCGAGAAAACCCTGAATTAGTCGCCAGCTCCCGGGACCCTGATGTTTTCCTTACCAAGGCAGTCTTGCCAACCTAACCTTGGTAATTACGTCGCAGTTTATCTCCTTGATCTGAATGCAGAAGTCCAGCCAGCAGGCAGTGCTTCTGCGTTTGTTTACTTCGGCCACGTGATTGGATTGGGCGCACGGGTGGAAATGGCACGCGCTCTCATTGGCTGTCACTACGGATAGCTGCAAAGCGCGCCAAAACTTTTGCCACCGCGTGGCCATTCGACTTTTCATAAATGGAATTGATTGATTTCTCTGATATCTCGTTGGTTGTTATTAATTGTTTTAAATTATTTTGAAGAAAGAAACTGCTGTTAATTGTTAATTATTAATATAAACCTATTTATTAATTCATTTTTTAGTTGCAATTAAAGTGTCTTTATTGATTGTATCAGAAGGCAATTACTGCCCAGGTACATCATACCCATCATACATACATTCAAATAAAATTATCAATTTACATAATAGAGAGGAAAATTATCTTCAAAAAAAATAATTCACATTAATCAAAAGATATATTACGGATATTACATCAATTGCATATTTAACTAGATTTTTTACTATCTACTTCTTCTTCTTGAAGCAAAATGGTTTATGTTAAAAAAAAAAAACAGTAACAAAAATGAATGAATTTCAATATAATTATAATTACATAAAAGTTTAGTATGTTCTTAAAAAAGTAAGCCTCCTATTATAATTTAGTTTTAAATGAAATAAAATTTAATCTCTGAAATTTTCCTGGTATTTCTATGAAAACATTTTAATCGCAACCTGTTGAGTCACGTGACTCTCAGGATGACCACTGCCTCTGCGTGTGCTCTTTGTGGTTAACCTTCACAAGCCCCTTCCTCACACGCGTAAACACTCGAATGTATAATATTATTTTATTTGATAAAATTAATGGTTTTTCCAACTCCAAGGCAGTTCGAATGAAAGGTAAAACGACAGGTGGAGTTCCTTGCAAAATCTTTGCCAAAATCGGTCCAGTCACACATCTAGAATGTTGCGCAACTTCTGAGCAATTCTCTGCTTCTTTTCGTGGAGGAAATTGTGCACAAAAGCATGCCAGCGAGGACGAGTGGCTGACCTCTATTTATTACTCGGAATGAAACGTCTGCAGTATATAAGGTTTGACTCGAAGTAAACACAGGTCCACTTGTTGTTCATTTTGCGATCGGTGCATAAGTTTCTCCGCCTTTTGCAATGGCCACTTTAAAAATGACGTTCAGAAGTAAGTTAATTTTATTTTTGGGTTTTTTAACAGACTATAATTTTTAAATTTTATAGCGGTGGTTTTTCTGTCGGCTGTTCTTTGCCTGGTGAACTCAAAGCCGTTCAGGAATAACTATGAGGATGACGATTCGTCTGTAGAGAGCTTTGAAGACTCCAGTAGTGGTTTAAGCAGGCCAGTAAGGCAGTGGGTATGTGTTTTAGAAATTATTCTTAAAAAAAAAAAAAAAAAAAAAAAAAAAAAAAAAAAAATACAAATTAGCTTTAACTTTAATTTTTTGCTAATTGCCTTTTTGCTTACTACAAAGTTGAATGAATCTCATAATTTTTTTTTTAAGTGCTGCTGTAAAAATTGATGCTTTTTTTGCTTATTTTTCTACTCTTTTTTTTTTTCTTTCTTTGCGTGAATGTGTAGCAAGGCAGACCCGCCCCGCGCAGACCCCAGGGCGACGCCATCCTCTTTCCTTCTTCGCCAATTAACCAATCTCAAAATGGACAGGGCTTCCAAGAGCAGTTCCCGCCGCCGTTCTTTGGCAACAGCGAAGAGTTCCCGTTCCAGGGCCAGGGCAACAATAACTTCCCAGGAAATCCAACCGTCGGTCCTGCCATAGTTGGTCGGCCGACTCGACGCCCACCACCAGGTGGGTGTTAAATTTAATAAAAACAAAACACATTAAAAAACATAACACATTTTGGGAAATAATTAATTGCACATTCATGAAAATTTCAATTTAAAAATCATAATAAACCAAATTAGGAGATGATCCGACCATTGGCCCCGTTTTAGTTGAACCATCATCTCGTCGCCCAGGTCGGTGACTATAATTTATTTTTAAACTTAATTTTAAAGTTGTAGTTTTGGAAATTTTTGAATTTAAAATATCCGAGTAGTTGTTGAAAAGAGATAATATTATTTCTAATTTTTCTTAGAATTTAAATGATCTTTACCATAAATTTGCTGGATTTGGTAGAAGTAACAAAAAAAGAGTTGAAATTTTACTAAACGTTCACCCCTTCATTTTTTTTAAATAAAAGCCATTGTTATGAAGCACATATAAGACCTACGGAACAAATACTAATGCAAATGGTAAAGGAGAAAACTACAATACACGAACACACACAAAAAAAAAAAAAAAAAAAAAACAATCGCACTTATTAAAATTTTTTCATTAATTAATTTTAGTTTAAAACTTAATTTTTCATTCCAATAGCCTGCAACTGCGTCCCGACCGAGGAGTACAACCCTGTCTGCGGCTCTGACAACACCACTTACTCAAACCCCAGCCGCCTCACATGTGCCCAAAGATGCATGAATCGTAAGTATTTTGAAAAAAATCTAACTTTTTATACCGTTTGGAAATGGTAAACGAGTTTTTCCATTAACATATTACTTTCTTTTTAAAAAATTTTAGCCAATGTGAGCCATCGCTACTTCGGAGTGTGCCGCGAAATTGTTGCAGGAAGAGGTTAAGACAAAATAACAATAATATCTTGCGTGGAAAATGTAAAACTTTTAAAATATATGTATTCTTTTGTACTTTTTTATTATTTGCAAAAACATTCATGCGAAATTGTATTTAAAAGAAATAAAAATTTTTGTGCCATTTTTATAAAATTTGAGATTTCATTGAAGTTAAAATTTCCGCTTTGATAACATTTCAGTTCACAGTATCACAGTATCTTATGAAATGAAGATTTGCGGTTGGGAAATATTTGCTTCATTCTTGACACAAGTTGATTTATTTCTGCAAATCGGCGCCAAATTCTATTTTTGATCTAATAAACTGCTGCTGGAGTTGGACCAAAATTTTGATTCTTGTCCAACACATACATTCCGCTAGGGGCCGTTCGCCTCTGGTGGCCGCAGTTGTCCTGCGAAGGGCGGCGGAGAAAGATGCGGACAATCATTTTGCTGTTTTGTCTCTTGCGCGGTTTTGCGGTTCGGGGCGCAGGAGTGCCTGCGCCTGACGATTCAGAAGCCACAATCATACCTCCTTCCCTTCTGGTAATGCTCTAATTTTTTTTTCTTTGGAGATAAAACAAAAAATAACACGATATATGTAAAAAAGTACAAAGGAAGACACAGCAGCGGCGGTGGACAGACTGGACAGCAACAGGAAGTGCAGTGTGAACATCCGTCCTGTAAACTTGACTCGGATGATTTGGTTAACATGGCCAAAGCTGCGGTCAACCGCGTTATCAAAGACATGTGTTGCGGCAACTCCAGTGAGTAACGCATATTTTTTAAAGATTTCATAAAACAAAAACCAAGGAAAACACGTTGAAAGGAGGAAATTATTAACAAATTTTATTTGGAAAAAAATTCGTTTTAGAGAAAAATAAGATAAAAATTGGAGTGTACGTAGCAAAATCATTTCATAACTTTCTTTCTTCACCTTTAACAATTTTCAAGCTGTTATGAAAGAAGATCAATGCAAATTTTTATCATAACGTGTATTACATTTTTTTTTTTTTTTAAATTAAGCAAATTGACATTTCATAAATTTACTTTTAATTCGTATATAGCATAGCCTTTACGTGTTTGCTAAAGCAAAATCTTTTTTCGTTGTTTTGTACATTATTTACTTTTTCCTTTTTGTGACATAAATTGCTTTAAAAAAAACTTATTGGCCTTAACGGGCCTTAATAGCCTCAATTTTGTGGATTTCATATCAGCAAATTGACCTTTATTATCAACCAAATTGGCTGAACCAATAATCAAATAATTATTATTTTGCATTCCAAAGTGTACGTTTTTGGGGAAAAAAATGGGTTGAAAGTTAACAAAATAAAAAAAATTATTTTCAGCAAGGCTATTATTAAATTCACTTTCATTATGTCAAACTATGTGTTATGTGTTAGTCAATATTTTTTATTATAATGTCTTAATCATTTAAAATTTTAAATGGAGCGGAATCATTTAAATTTAAACCTTTGGATTATTTAAAAATTTATTTTTTCACAATTTTTTGTTAAGGAGAGGGTTTAAAAAACAATCTGGACGACAGACTGCACAACCTTGAGTCGCAATTCGCAGACCAGATGAACGTGCTCAAAACCATGCTTTTGAATATGGAGGAGCGAATCAGCGAGGTTGACGGAAACGTGCGAAAAGTCAGATACGGTAGTATTTTTTCTTTTAATAATTAACAATAATTTTTTTAGAAGGAATTATCCTGATATATTATTTGTTGCAATCCAATAATTTTATTATCTAGTTTTTTCTTAAAAAAATTGCTTTTTTTTAATTGAAAGCTAAATTGTGGTGAAATAAAAAATTACGTTGCAAGAAAAAAATGAAAAAATAAAATTGCAACGAGGGGCCCGGTTTCAATTTTTCATGAGAGTCTTTTAGACTCTTTTTCTTCTATTAAATATTCCAGAACAGCAACCCTGGTTTCTGTTTACTTGGAATCTGATAAATGTCATTGTAACTGAATATTTTCTCTTTAAAAAATTTCCTAAAAATTAGTTTGAATTGCTTTAAAAATAAAACTTTCAGAGTCTTAAAAATACGATGCTACAATTTTCTTCGAGATAATTTTCAATAACATTATTCTAAATTTTCAAAGATCTGAGGAACAGCGCGCAAAACGGGTGTCCGTCGTGCGACGGTGGGCACCAGCAGCTGCTGTCCCAACTGACGGACGACCAGGACCCGAACAACAGGGCGGACCGCGAGTCGGAAATCCAGCTGTACAACAGCAGCATCTACTACCTGCCGGTGCCCTCCGACCTGAGCAACGAGACCTCCAAGCAGCAGCTGCGCGTCTTCACCTACTACTGGCGCGTCAAGGACATGCAGAACAAACTCAAGAACTGGGAGCCGCGACGCTCGGTGCGCAGCCCCAGCTTCTACATCTCGGCCGGCAGCTACAAAATGTACCTGCGCATGTTCCCCAGGCAGAACAACGGCAAGAACGTCTACCTCCACGTCGGACTCACCAAAGGTCTCTTCTTTTTATCGACAAATTATCAAACAAAACTTAAAACAATTTTTTTTTAATTTTCTTTAAAAAAAATTAATTATAAGTTAAATAAAATTTAAGTGTATTGACATTTTTTTTAAAAATCTCAAAATCTGAGAATTTATTTCTTGTTACACAGTATTTTTGACCAAAATGACACCAAACCTTTCCTTTTTACCATCTTTTAATACTAATGTTTACAGGGGACCATGACACCGTGCTGAGGTGGCCCTTCCGCCTGAAGATGCGCGTCTCGGTTCTTGACCAGCGCATCGAACATGTGCAGGACATCAACTCGCGCGTGTGGGACCCGAGCGTGCTGTGCAGCGAGTTCAACTGGAAGCGGCCGACGGCCAACGCAGACAACCACGAGTGCGTCGGCCTCGGCTTTCCGCATGAGGTGCTCGCCTCCCGAGATTACGTCGTCCGAAACACCATCATCATCAAGTTCACCGTCTACTTAGACCTTTGAGAATTTACCAAGCCCCCACTAAATTGATTGGATTTTATTTAAAAATAGGGGTCGATAAACTTAACAAAATTTCAAAATCCATATATTTTTTAGATCCTGGTCTTTGAACGATTTTTTAAATTTTTTTCCAACAAAATTGAGGCAGTAATTATTATACTTTTCAGCTTTGACACATTAATTTTCTCAATTTTAGCACAGAAATGTTTGGATCGATAAAGAAATTTATAATCTGGACTTCGTAACTAAAGAATTTTTATTATTTCCACCCTTTTTAAATTATTTGAAAGTAGAGAAAAGTTGTACAACCGTATTTAAAGCTTTTATTTTCCTCTAAATATGTAAAATTTATTTAAAAACTAGCGAAAATACTTTAATGAACATTATATTATATAAAATTGAATAAACAAGCTTTTACGTATATATCACAGACTAGTTTGAAGGCAATGATGTCTGTCTGTGGCTACAATGCGGGATGATCGTCAGCTGCTTTTTTTGTCTTTTTTCGTGATAAAATGTCCACTAACTAGCATGTCAGATTTGGATGAAAATAAATTTTTTAGCAATAAAAGATATTCTCAATTATGGTATCACAACAATGGCAAAAAAGGGCAGTTTCGACTCTCAGCTGCTCGGGTTGGATTCGGAGGCAGAATCATTTTCCTCGACAATCAAATTGACTCGATCTGCGGGTTTGGGCACTTTTCCCCAGCGCCCCCAAATGGTCATGTAAATGCCAGTGGTGAAAATGGCCAGTCCGATCAGCATGAGAACCACCGCAACAATGTACCCGATAAATTTCAGGTCCAGCGCAATACTAAGCAAGGTTGCGAGGTGCGGAGTCAGTCTTGCGTTTTGGTTGAAGTGGAACATTGGAATGAGCAACCTGGGCACATCCTTGAAAATTCTATAAACATTTTCTATAAACCCCCTTTCATAAAAATTAAGGATTCGAACTTACTTGATCTCTTTATAAGGCTGCATGAGTAGATTGACTTGCAGTCTGGCCTCTACATCCATTGGAATTCCCGAGGTCTAAAATTAGTGTTTTAAAAATGAGTTGATCTTAAAGAAAAAATTAATCTTTCTCACCGGTTCTATGACGATGTAGCACTGGTCTTTGTCCTCGCTGGGAGCAGGCATGTCTATAGATTCAAGGTAGTAGGGGTCAGCTTTGTAGAAGTGAGGCAGAGAGACAAAGGCAGGCGCTCCAAACTTGCACCTCGAGACGTTCATGGCTCCGGCAGGCAAACAACTCTCAGCTTCGTCTGGGCCGCCACAAAAACATTTGTTTTCGGGAAAATTCTGGCCGTTGTCCAAAGTTTTCTGGCCAACGGTGTAGTAGTTGCCTTCGATACCCTGTCTGGTCACTTTTCCTGAATACTCCATCCTCATAGGTCTGAAAATTGATGAAAGAAACAAAGGCTCAAATGAAGTGTTCACAAGTAAATCGTTTAACAAAACTCAAATTAATTCAAAATTAAACTTAAATTTTCTTTCAATTAAGTCAGATTCTTAAAATTACTAGCTCTAATTAACGATTGTGAAAAAATTTATTCTTCAAAACACTTCAAAAGATGAGACAATCACCTGCACAAATCCGTAGTGAAGAGATCTTTGTCATCGGTGTCTCTGATTGGCGGCCACAGCTCACCAGTCGTACCATTGACCATGGCGCAAGTTCCGAAATTGTCTGTTGTCATATTGCTGTCGTTCCACTCCGTCAAAACTCCAACTTTGAAAATGTCATCCTTTCCAGTATACATGTCAAATTTCCCGTCATATTTCCACGAATTGTTCCTCTAAAGAGAATTTTACATTACATTGAACTAAATTTAAGTAATAAACCTACGGCATAAAACCATCCGAACTTGTCAAAGGGAATGTTGAAGGCCGGGTTGTGGATGTCGTTGACCAAATTCAAAAGGGTGTCATTGTACCCTTCAAAGAGGAACTCGCCGACCCTCTTGGTGATTTCTCTTTTAGTCTTCGCGACCCGCATCACAAGATTCAGTCCGTCCAAGAGCACAGGACTTTGCCGCACCACATATGCGGCAGACTAAAAATAATTGTTTTTTTTTTTAATTTTTTATGGAATTATAAAAAATAGCCCTACCAAGGCGACAGGGTCAACAGTGGTGATGAGGTCGTCAAGAGACCCGTTGGACATCTCTGCTTCGAAGAAGTAAGTTCGGATTTGGTGGAACTCGACAGTGTCGTTGTTGTCCTTCCACGAAATGTTCACCCTCTTGTGGTGCTCCCTGAACGTTAATAAGAAGTTTTAACACTACTGTCATTTTTTTCTTTAATTTAGATTAAGCACCTAAAAACGTATGGACCGTGCTCCGTGAACCTTGGTTTGACGTTTTTGTTCAGGATTTCCTCAGGGTTGGTCCAGTTGAACAAGTAGAAGGTCATGTAAATTGGGATTGGCGTTTCTTCCCACACATTGTACTGGATCGAAGAAGGCGTCAAAGTCAGCTCCTGAAAAAATTAATAATTATTTGATGAGAATAATTTTGTGGCAATCAAACATTGAAAATAATTTAACAACTCTGATTTAAAATTAACATTCCACGCTTATCAGCAAAATCAACTAATTATATTTGAAATAATTTTCACATGAAAGCCTCACAAATGTTTATGGGGACTTGTGAAAAGACTTTTGTTTGTTTGTTATCACCAAATATACTCACTGCCAAATTAAGGCAGACTCGCAGATTTGATCTTGGCTAGACAGACTCAATGACAAAGTACAAAATTTAAGCTTATCATTTCGGAAAAACCAAAAATACAATTTGACTTTAGATCTACATGAAGTTTGATAATTTTCAAACCCCTCTCTGGTAAGAAAATAATCGCTGTGTCACTATCGCTGAATAAGTGCATTTAATTAAGAAGCTACATAACAAAAGAGGGTTTTTTTCTCACGTTTTTCAACACGAGGTCGTGAATCGAGGGCCAGAGGACCAACATGAAGCCGCCCAGGGTGACCAGGGTGGTTCCGCCCACGAAGACGCTGCACTTGGCGATGTTGGGCATTTTTCCTCCTCGCTTTCAAAATTTCAATGCCTCAGCTTTCAGGTGTCGACGGGCAGCAGGCTCTGCGGAAATAATCCAATTTGCTATAATTTTTTTTTATGACTCATGCGTAAATAATCACATGACAATGAGAAAAAAGGCGTCATTTCTCTTTGGGGTGTTGTTTTCGATGAGAAAAAACATTTTGAAACCGAGTTTGGGGTTTTGGGGGGATTTTAATGCTGGCCGTACTTACTCGTGAGGGCAATCACCGGATTCACTAATCATTCAGGACCGTCTGTTCTCTTCAATGACTCGGTGGGAAACGCGAATTCGCTTACAATCTTTTCTGATCTGCCTCTCAATTCTCAATATCTCATATCTCCTTTTTTTGCAAGCATGTAATGTTGTGATAATAACTATGTTTTCCAAGGACACCGCTAGAGGCGTCGTGAACGGTGCTGTATATTTTTAGTAATAAAAAGGAGCGAAAACATGCACCGTAGCTCTCGGGCTCGCAGACTACGATAAAAATAATATTATTCATTTGTAATATTAATTAGTCTGTGAGCTTGCATTTTGCTCTTTAGTCTCTTTCATTTTTAACAAGTAAATTAAAAAATTGAAATAAATAAATTGTATTTGATACCGGGAAAGTGGGGATGGGAAAAGTGGGAGCTCATCACATGGACAAGCACACACTCTTTTTTTATGATATATAAATATAAAATAATTATATCGTTAAAAAATGGAGTTAATACAGCCTAATTAGTACATTGGGGAATACGTACAGTCCCCTGAGGGCCCTGAGGTTGGTTATTATTATTTTGTAAATTTTCATTACCTTATTTTTTGTCTGGAATGATCAATTTTGTTTGGCAATAAGACGTGAAATATTTTTACATAAACTTTAATAACTAGATTAAAATTCTTGATCAATTTTAAATTAATAAACATTTTTTGATAGAAACAAATAAGCAGCCTAAAAAACAAAGGTTTTTGTAAATCATATAACTATTTTTATACATGAATTTTTAAGCCAAATTGCCATAGAAGAATGGAATTTGAGGGTGTACCTCCTGAACTGAATTTTGTATTCTAATCTTTGAGACTTCCCCAGTGCTCTGAAAGAGTTTTATCATATCATGCACACGTACATAATCCGTGCTTTTTATGCGTGCAGTCTGCTGATAGGTAATCGTTTTGATTGGGAGCAATATTAATTTTATTTGTTCTCTTTTATCTATTGAGCACTTTGCTTTCTTTATACAGACTGCACTTTTCTCCTTAAATATTGGAGTCTGTTGATTGATTTTTTAGATAAATCCCGTGACAATACTAATTGTAAGTCAATAAATGAAAACGTATTAAATTATCAGATCATCAGATAAAAACACCGTTGTGCTGTCTTTCTCACTGATAAACAGATTTCTCCCAGAAATTTTATAACTCTCTATTAATGCAAAAAGTTTTCAACATTTAATATAATTATACATTAAAGTGGATATCAACAACGACCAAAATTTTTTTAAAATCATCAGTTTTGGATAGGATGCATCAAAACTCATCAATAGGGACTAAAATATTTTTAAAATATCCCTAATTTTAAAGTTTACAGTCGTCAGAAAAGGTCTCGATTATCGTATTTCAGTCATTCGAGGACAATTTTTTAATTATTCTACATTTCGCCAATGGCTCAACCAAATGTTTTGAAAATTTAGAGTTTGACGTAAAAATACATGGCGCATCTTTTGACAATCTCAGATCTTTGTTCTGGTTGCATATTTTCAAGGGGCAGATAAATTTAATTTTTGACCTTTTGCCAGGGTCAATGACCTTTGAATTACAAACTTTGTTACCACTGACAAAAGATACCTTGGTTCATTAGCTTCAACCTCCCGCCGAGAAAAGTAAAAAATCTTCACCCGTATTAATTTGACAGCAGTTTTAGTAAACCCTTAAGTATCTCCGGCGGCCATATTGAAATTTGACAAATATGAAATTTTTTTATTACTTGGGTATTTTTGGAACCAAAATACGAACTATCATGAAATTTATATGTAGAAATCAATTAATTCCAAGCGCTTAAAAATTAGCTTATCTTTCTCGTAAACGAGTAAAATGCAAAAAACCACGTTTTTTGACCTTCAATTAAACTTTTCTCAAAAATTTACGCGGTGACCCCCAATTTTCTTGTGCCAATTTGCCAAATCTGTAGCCCGGTTATTAAGGATCATGATGGTGGGTCACACACTTTTGGCAAAGTTATTTTCATGTACTTCAATTACATGGTTAAACGATTTTTGTGAAAATTTTACATAAGCGAGCCATGTTAACTTCAAATGCGATTTTCTCACAAATTTTTTTGGGGTGACCCCCAATTTTCTTGTTATCAAAATGATCCACAAGGTCCATACTAACAGTTCTGAATAATGATTTTGCGATCCTAAGCTGTTGATATCCACTTTTATGACTTCATGAACAAATTGCTTCATGACCATTCATTATTAAAATAACAAAACACCAAAAATACTTTATAACATTAAGAGAATGTTTGCTAAAAATAAAGTGCAAAATAAGATTCTATAGGCGCCTCCCTCGCCCTCAACACTCCCTCCCCCTCTGACGGCTCTGACAGAAGCCATGGGAGAGCAAAGCAACAAAAACAACAATTACAATCATCTCGCATCTCGATCAACATAATGTCATGTCGGTAGTGCATTTTCCAATTTGAGAGTTCTTCAATAGTCACGCGTGCAAATCATCCTTCCCGATAGTTTCTCTCATTGTCAGTCGAATGAGCCGACCAAGGACATCTTCGACCCCCACCATCACTGTCACGAGGACCCCGATGATTTGCCGACTTGCACTTCCTAAGGTAAGGGCCAAAATCAGCAATTTTTCCTTCGTTGTTTATTAACATTCTCCTAAAGTTATAATTGTTTTCTTTCAACCTCCATGCTTATAAAAATATTCTTGCATATTTTTAGGATGAACTAATTAAATGAAACCAAGAAAATATTTATAAAAAAAAAATAACTGGCTCAATAAAAGAGCAAAACTTGAAAGTTAAGTGCAGAAAATAAACATCGCAGATTGAATTCAATAATATGAATATTGAATATTTTATCAATGATGTTTGTGCTCTTCATTGTGATTGCTCCGATCCCTTTTCGAGGGCCTCACATTTGCGGCCGCAAAACCATTATTTGGCATCTGTCCTGACAGGCGGCGCATATTCAGTTTCGCCTTGTCCAGTTTGCCATATAGTAACGGCAGGGCAGGGCAGGACGGGCAGCAGCAGTGAATTTTCTCACGCTGATCCTGCCTTTTTTAATCTCAAAATCATGCGTCTTGGAGGTTTTTGCCTCGTCTGCTGGTACTCGTCAGAAAACAGAGCTTATATTTTGGATTTTACGTTTCAATTTAATTTTTTCCATCTCTCTCATCACTCTCGCTAAAAAATTTGTTATTTTCCCAATACATTCCACCCTTGATTTGTAAAAAAAAAACTAAGTCTACTTTTTCTCGCAACTGCATATAATCTAGTTTTAGAGAATATAAACTATTGTTGACTTATTTTTCCACCGTGAAAATAATTTTAATCTAGGTGCACATATTTTAAAATGTCATTTTTAACATCATAAAACTTCACTGTTGCATGCAAAGAAAAGTGTTTATAATTTTTTTTTCCATTTTCAGAATCTTCCTGATTTTTTTTTGTAATTTTTAAGCTATGCAGAAAATATAAATTTTTGACCCAAAACCAACGTTTATAAGGCCCAGGAAATTAAAAATCCTGGATTTTAAACAATTTTTGTCTTCCAGACTCAAATTTGGTGACCTGTAGCGGGATTAGGACTAAAGCATGAAGATATGATTTTCACGTTGAAAAATAATGAATATCAAGTTTTGCATACGGAACCAGGCCCATCTTCCCTTGAGGAAAAAGAATAAATTCATTGCAAAAAGCACACTCAAAAATAGAAAAATTGATTTTTTTTTTTTTTAAATTTATTTATTAACACTTTTGCGTTGATTTATCTCAAATAATATCATAAACGCAGTATAAAAAAAATGCTATTTTTTGATACCAAACTCCTGATTGACATAAAAAAGTGGCCAGATGCCCAAGAAAGTAAATAAAATCTGCCAATTTGGTTCAATTTTCATTACGGGAATTCGCAAACGAACTCAAACGGAGTGTCCGCCGAGATGGGCGAGAATATGAGGTTGCCAGCAACCTTTTTAGCTGTAACGTACTGCAGTCCTGCAGTGCCGGGATTTAAAGCTGCATTAGAATCGATCAATCTTTGGATGAAGTCCCCCTGTTTTTCGCAGTCATAGGCGTAGTTTGATGCGACTACAGGGATGTTCAGGGATGTGCTGGGGTAAAGAGTCATGCCAGATGGCGCTGCAATAGAGACATTGAATATATTTCTTTTTTATATACACTATAATATTTCTTTTGTAAATGTTTGTTGGAGAATAATTAAAATTTAAAATGGGATGACGTAACTTTCTTTTTCTTGTTTGTGTTTTACCATTTCCATACATGCAGTCTAACACAAAGGGGTAGGAACTGGCGTTGATCAGTTTCAACCCTCGTTCGCAACAGAATCGATAAGCACCCTCCGCTGTGTAATTCTGTAAGATCCACTTTTTATTAAACAACGGTAAAAATTTTGTTCCTGAAAATAAAAGAAAAAAAAATTCCAGACTTATTTGAAATTAAGATGCAAAAAATCGCATTGCTTAGATGGGGGGGGGGGGTTGGGTACGAATGTATTTTTATTGACAATGAGAGCAGACTTTGTGGTTATAAAATTTTCTCAAAATTCAGAAAAAATTTAAAATGAACTGTAAGAATAAGAGCTTATACGCACCACAAAGGTGTGATCAAAGTACACTTTGGAGTTGCTGCACATGCAGATTGCAATTGTGGGGTTTGTGTAAACCTTACAACCAAGGCCTGCTTGCAAAAACCTTCAATTTGCATCATGAATAATATTTAAAATTTGGAATAAAATACTGGTTGGCTGTGGATAGGCCAAAATAGCATTTCGAGCTGCCAACTGTTAAATAAAAAATGTTTTTGTATGTGTATTATTAGTTTAATTTTCTTTTGACTAAATTACGTCGACCGTGCAAGGGTTGTTATTCATGCATCCGTAATCCCGCGGTATCGGAGGCTCATCCTTTTAAAGAAAGATTCAAATTAGTTTTGATATTGAAATTTTGCCTCACGGTTGGAATTTTGTTTTCCAACTCCTTGACCATTCCTTCAACGACCTGTGGTGCCTTGTCGTTGGCGCATTTGACCAACGAATACGCCTTGTCGCAGTCACTCATCCCCACTTTCAAGTTGAGAAATGACTTATTTCTCTGTTTTTTTTTTTTATTACTATTTTTACGTGT